GTGTCAGAAATGTAGGGATAGCATTTATTCACTTTATGAAATGATAAAGACTTTTGGATGAAGTGCTAGACCCTGGCTATGGAACATGAGCACTAGGCTTTTTCTTTCATCCCTTAGAGCTGAATTTGATATATTCATTCATTTATAGAAATATTTATGGCAAACAAATATGGATAAGACATGTTTTTAGCTTGATCAGGGTAATGACGACCGTCACTAACTAAAGAAGATGGCCTGGGGAGCGGGGTCCAAGTGTCCGGCAGCTTTGTGTCATAGTTGGAAGTGTGGCCTTAGTGGTTCCCTGGAAAGGTTCAGAGTCTCTTGGTGGATCCTGGGTCAGAGCCCCTCCTTCCCTCCTGCCCTGCAGCTGGGCACCTCCCCCTGCAGTCGCAGTCCCCCAGTCATGCACCATGTCATTTTCCAGCTGGTGTGCAGTGGCTCAATCTCAGCTCACTGCCACCTCTGCCACCCGGGTTCAAGCAATTCTCCTGCCTCAGCCTCCCAAGTAGCTGGGATTACAGGCACCACCACCACGCCAGGTAAACTTTTCTATTTTTAGTAGAGACGGGGTTTCACCATGTTGGCCAGGCTGGTCTCAAACTCCTGACCTCAGGTCATCCACCCGCCCCAGCCTCCCAAAGTGCTGGGGTTACAGGCATGGGCCACTGCACCCAGCCTCTTTTCCTCTCCTATCTGACTCACTAGATGGGATCTGTTAGGTAAATCAGAAACCAAAGAGGAGTAGCATTCAACACTCCGTCACCCGATGAGCAAATCTATTATCAAGCCCAGTGCACTCTACCTCCTGAATAGCTCCTTACTTGTAACACTTTTGCATCTCCACCAGTAACTTCTAACTGGACTGCCCACATCCAGTGCTATGTATGTTCTCTACACTCAGCTAAATGAAGTATTCATTCCAAAATGTAGAGCAAGTAGGTCATTGTCATGCTTCTGTTGTTTAAAGCTTCTTAATGCTTATAGGACAAAGAAAAATCACGCTTGTGTGGCCCTACCCTGTATACATCTCCAGCTTCCTGGCACTTGCTCCCCCTTGCTCTTTAGGCTTCAGACATAGTGGCTTCTTTCAGACCCTGCGCCCGTCCTTTCTGAGGTTACTGACTAGCATGGAATTCCCTGCCCTCCTTAATTCCTGCCTGATTGCTGTGCAGCTTTGACTTGGCAGCTTAGGACTCAGTACCTCAGGGAGGCCTTGGCTGAGCTCCCTGATTAGGTCAAATTTTCTTCTATAGGCTCTTAGAGTCCTATAATTCTCTTTTCTATCACTTCTCATATTTGTCTGTGAGGGTGATTTGTTTAATGTCAGTTTTCTGCTACTAGAGTGTAGGCTTCATGAGGATAGGGATTCGGTTAGAATTCTTTCACTATTTCTAGTAGAAGGAACAAGGCCTAACACGTAGTAAATACTGAGGAAGGCCGGGTGTGGTGGCTCATGCCTATAATCCCAGCACTTTGGGAGACTGAGGCAGGCAGATCACGAGGTCAGGAGTT